AAATCATTTGTCTGAACGTTTTCAAAAATACAGAAAATTAACGTTAATGAATTTTCGAAATGTAATATTTTTTTTTTACCGGGAGGAAGTGTGAAAAATCTCGAAGGACACTGCCAAACGAAAAGCAGTAAGGTGGAGCTTTAGTCCCCTAAAAAACACCCTCCTCAAAATAATTTATAAAACTAGTCGGAAACGACTAACCATTAATTTTGGTCTTACTTTTTTGATTCACCAGTTTTTGGTCTGGCACAATAGCGTACTAAGTGTTCATTGTTCCAGATAAAAAACATTAAACTAACACGAGCAGTCTTGTACGTTTAAGTCTCCTAACAAAGTTTTGATTGTCAACCAATCGAGCCGCCTCGATGTTGACATGATTAGATAAACACATTTTATGATTGGCTCATTGCCTTTTAATTTCGTCCGTGACACTTAGAATTGTGAGATCCCTGTGTATATCGAAATTACGGACATACCAAGGGGCGTTTACCATGTCTTGTAGTACCTTATTTTGAAATCTTTGAATAGATTGAATATGAGTCTGCGCAGCGCAACCCCATAATTGAATACCGTAAGCCTAGACAGGCTTAAATATTTGATTATATATCAAAACTTTGTTGTATATTGACAAAGAAGAACGCCTTTCTAAAAGCCATTTAAACTTCCTGTATTCCTACTCAAGTTGAGATCTCTTTTTCTTTATGTGCCCTTCCATCTGAGGTTTGTGTCCAATGTCATTGCCAAATACTTCACTTCCCAAATAATGTTTGCGAACGGAATTAAGACGCCATTTATCCGAACCGAAAGTGAATTGTCAGTTTTCCTATTAGTGAAATTCACGTGCACTGATTTCACCCCGTTAAGCTTTATATTCCACTTTCTAGTCCATTTTGATATCTCATCATTGGCCTTTTGTAATTTTTGTGTAGATTCATTTTCAATTCGCCATATTGCGATAACTGATGTATTATCAGTAAATGTAGCCGTTGTCACTCCTTCCGATGAAATGTAATATACTAAAATAATTTTATGTTGTTGTTCTCTCACAATTTCCAGCCTTATTAATGGACTATTATTTAAATTTTTGAATCATATTTACTTAGTCCGTAACAAAATATTTGAGCACGTATAGTTCTCTATAGAAACTCTATATACATAATCATACGGAGTACTCAAAAAACCTATTTGTCAGTTCTCTAATCAGATAAGTTTTAGAAAATTAGATTTAGAAGACCTCATATCCTAAGCCCATTCTGAAAATAATTACGTAAACTGCTATCTAGACATAGTATTCAACTAAATCTCATAATAATTTCACACAAAATTTATTTACTCTTCTATATGAATTTATGAAATTATTGCCGGTAACAAAATTTTACATGAATAAATGTATAAATATATAAAAGTAAATTTGTGATATAAAACTCATTTATTTTTTTTTTGTTTTTACAATGAGAAATAATCGAGCGTAAATATCACGAATACTTGTAATAACCATCTTTTTTAAAAATTTGTAATTTTTTTTTCTTCTTCATTATTCTTTTGAAAACTCGGCCGTGATCTAGTTATTATAGTATAAATGAAGCTAAAATTATGAATACATTTATAAACAAATAATTATATACATACATACAATGTGTGTTGAACTATATATATATAAATATATAATAAAATGTTCTATTATAGTGTTAAATTTAGATTAAAAGTTTACATTTAGATTTATTATATGTAAAAAAAAAAAACAAAAAATTAATGGAGGAGGGAAAAATAATAACAGATGTACGTGAGAGTACGTAATCTATGATTTTTTTTTTTGAATTTAAAAAACAAACTAGAAAAGGATTTCTATAAATTTATGTAAATTTTAATTTCAAATTTTAGGTTAAAAAATTAATTTAAATGGGTAAAATTGTAAAACATATGCTTAATACCAAGCCATTTTTATAACTTTTTGAATCTTCATATGCGTTCACTAAAATAACAGTGATTGCGACTAGATATATAACAGTTTTTGTGTATCATACTTGCTACATTTCCATCTGTGTAGAATCCAAACTTCCATTAATTACTTTATCTATTCTCACTTCCTAAAAATATTTCGTGCCGGCTTCAATTCTCTTTCTAAAACTCAAGAGAAAGAGCGTAATTGAAAAAATTGAAAAAACTGGCGCCCTACTTGGGGTCATTTGTTTTTTTTTTTTAAGATTTTATATTTAATCATTTAACTTGTAAAATTAAAAATTTTTAAAGAATTTTTTCTAATTTTTGGAAACTCTCCAATAAATATGCGAAAAGTAAAATGGCGTCACTATATGTTATTTATTCTAAAAAAAAATAAATATTTGAAATACAATATTCTTGATGAAGCTAAGTATACGTATAGCTTTACAAAAACGTATACTTACATTCGATTCTCGTTTTCAACAAACATCATAAAAATCTTAAATAATTTTACTAAAAATTTTATTTAAAATTCAAGATTTACTGTTACTGAGAAGATAAAAATGTCAATAATAATATTTTTTCTCTTTTCTCTTTGTTTTTAGCTTCATTACCCATTGCTTGCAATTTTTATTTTCTTTTCAAGAGTATTTTTAAAACTTTTTATTAAATATTTTATTCTATTTATAATTCAAAAATAGTTAGTTTATCCGGTATTCCATTTAATTTCACACACTAAAGCTAATGTAAAGTAAAAAGAAAAGAATATGAATAAGAGATTTTCTATTTTAGGTTTAATAAAAAGTGAGAGAAAAAAATATTTTAAAAATAATTTACGGAAATAGTTACAACTTGGTAATATAAGTTATAGACCTGTAATAGCGGTGTAGTCGCACAATTTAAATAGTATGCACTGTATATACTGTGTACAAATTGCCTCACCTTAATTGTCTCAATTTTAGGCAAGTCTTTATTAATTTGAGTCATATTTATTTATCTGTATTTAATTAAAACTAAAGAGAGCATTGCCGCTATTTTGAATTGCTCTACCTCACGTGAGCAGACTGGTCCCGCCCAGAGCCGGACACTGCCAAAGATAAGTTCATATATTAAATATGAATTTTTTTATAATAAAGTCTTGAAGGTATATAAAAAGAACATTATAAAAGGGGTAAAAGTATTTATTTTGCAAATTTCTTCCATATAAATTGTACTTGACGAAAACTTACCGTAATTAAATTGATAAATACATCAAAATAATGTTCAAACTGTCATGCAATATAACATTAAACATATAACATATTAGATTACATTAAGGCAAAAAATGTCCTTCAGTAAATGCCAATTCAGTTGTAAATCTGCCATACATATTATAGTGTGGGTGTCTGTCTGAACAATTATAAAAAAAAACGACTTTCTACCATCTTTCTGTTCTTTTTATTGAAATATGCGAAGTATTAAAATGTTGCTAAATTAAAAATTTATGAATTAAAATTAACTACCAAAACTGTTGATCTAACCTAATCTAACTGTTAATATACTACGAGTATATCAGTAATGGTTTCATTATATTTTTAACTAAAATAAAATCTTAAATTTTAATCAACCTATATTGCGGTCTTTCCTTCCAAGATACCACAATTAACATAACACATAAGTTTCTTTAATATGGTTGAGTCATTTATAATTATTTCAATTTATTGCCATCCTTCAAAAGGCAGCCATGATTAATTATCAAAATATTATAAAGAATTTTTATAAAAAAAAAAACATTTTTTTTATTTTTAGAAAATTTATGTAGAAATTTAAAACATGAAATGAGCATTAAGACGTGTGTATTTTCATACTAACTTTGAAAAATTATTTACAGTATTAAAGTTGGCAAACAAAATATTTTTTTTTTCTGAACTAAGTGTCTGAACTAAACGTCAAAACTTGAATATCTTTTCTGTGTTCTAAAGGCGTGAAAATTCTATAAAATGAAGATAAAATATAGGAAACTTCTTTTCATACTTGTTTTATTTGTATATGAAAATATGAGAAATAAAAAAGTTAATAAAAAATGAGCAAATCATGCATGTAAAATTGGTTGAATGCAATTTTTTTTTTATTTTCCGATGAAAATATTAAAATATTTTCAAAAGAATTTTAATATTTAAAAAAACTATTATAAAAATTGTATTGCGTTGTTTTTTTTAGATTTTCACCTAATATCAAAGTTGAAAAGAATATTTTTGTATTTCGACATGTTTTCGAACGTGAATTAAGAACAACTAAATAGAAAAGAGCTTATGTATTCATAAAATGTTTGTGTGCTTATAAATAACACCCGCCTAAACTGAAATATGGAATTGTTTAACTGTTTTCTTCATAAAATTTTATTTGTAGTGTTGAGGAAATTCAATTTGATTTTGAATTAAAGTGAAAGATTACAACATTACACTCAAATAAACCTACACATTTTTTCAAATTTAAAGAAGAACTGATTGTAATAATTATGCAAATGTATGTACATGTTAAGATGAAATTAAAATGAAAACATCTTAATTCTAAAAACATAACCAAAGCGATGAACAGTAATATTATATTACTGTTCATGTACACATACATGGAAAATATATAATGTAGAAAAAAACCACTGGCGGTAATTTCACATAATTCCATTTTAATGTGTTCTGACATTTCGCCACGGAAAATCGCTTTTGTTCTGTTTTCAATTTAAACGAAAATGAAATTTATGTGGAAACACAATTATTACCAAACAATTATAACAATTATGAGAATCAAAATAAAAAGTACAAAAAATTAATTGTAGATGGCGATGTAATTGACATTGACTGACGTTTACAAAATTTTGCTTTTTGATTATAAAAATATATAATGATAGTATGTCACAAAAAACTTTTTTATAATTGGAAACAAATATTTTCCAAATTCAGAATATTCTATTTAAAAAATCACTTACATACTTAAGTCTTTATCGTAAATTTTTTAATTAGATAACCTATTTATTGAATTTTAATTTAATAATTTTTTTTATATTATTTTTATATTTATAGTGCTTCCATCAACAAGCCAACAACATGAATCTCTAAAATATAATGATGATAAATTTTCAATATCATCGTCATCGACATCATCAACAACAATAACAAATAATAATAATATGACATGTTCATCATCAATTTCAAATTCAACTGCTGGCAGTAGTAGATCAATTACAAAAAATTCACAAAAATCAAATAATAAAACTGACCTCTCTCATATGATGCATGTAAGTTGAAATAAGTATTTCATTATTATTATTGTTTTATTATACCATATTTCTATTGTTTGTTTTAGGATCCTTATTCCAATATAGATGAAATAGATTATTGTAGTAGATCAATGGCTCAACAACAACAACATCAACAACAACAACAATCAATACAACAATTAAATAATTTTTCACAACCAAAAATGCCAGCATATCCAATTGCTGGTTATACAACAAGTAAAGAAACAACAAATTCATCAAATTCATCAAATAAAAGTGTTATAAGACGAACAAGTATGTTAAAAATTTCTAAATTTTCTGTAAATAAATTTATAAAAAATTTATTAATTTCACCATTTTATTTTATATTTTTTTATTATTTCATTTTATATTATTTGGTTATTAAGGTATCTAAAAAATAAATTTTTTTTTTTTTGTTTTTCTGTCTTATTATTTATACAAATTATTAAATAATATTTTGTAATTTAAATACTTAGTTTAGATTAAAATTTTTGGTTTTAAGTTGATTTTTTTTTTTCAATTTTGATTTTTCAATTCATATTTTAACACCATAGTTGTATAATTATTATTTTTATTGTTTATAATGCACATAAATATTTTTGAGTTTTGTCTTAAATTTTTTGGTATGGTGTTGTTAGTTTGTAAGTCATAAAATAACAGTATGTTCAGAAAGAAACAAATTATTTATATACCAAAACAATATTATAATTTATATACAAATTGCTCGTTTACGGCAACACTGCCATAACTCAAAATAAAACTGGTACATTTAATAAAAACGAATTTTTGAAATATTACAATTAATTATTTTATAATTTATTCTAAACAATAATTTTCAAGCTAGAGAATATCGGATCTCTGTATAACTCATAAATAACTTGAAAATCGTATTTTTTTTGAGTTATGTCACTTGTTGCAGCAAATGAACAAATTATACCTAATATATTATACTTAAATTATACAAATAAACGTAAACACTTTTACAATGTAAAATTAAAATTACAAATACAAAATTTTTTTTTATTTTACTCATAAATTTTTATTTAAAAAATATTTTGAATAATAGAAAATAAGTTATTCTTTTGTATACACACACGTTTAATATTTTATTTTTAATTAAAAAAAAAAAAGGTTTAAAACTACAGCTTTCATAATATTTAATATTGAAATTTAAAGGGCTCCAACTTGAACCAAATTTGTTCAAACATGATTCAAAATTTAAAATCAAATTAATTTTTTTGATTAAAATATTTATTAATAAAATATTCAAATTCCAATAAATTGTACATAAAATTAAAAGCCCCACCCCACCTCCCACAAAATACTTAATCCCACTAAAAATTCACTGAACAAATTTGTCTATTGCAAGTTGAATTATATCTAGGGTTTTCTGTCAGAACATAAAGACCCTAGATATATACAAGGAAACCAACTTCGTCAATTAAATTTTCCCAACTTTGAAATTATTTGGAACTTTCAAATGTGTTCTTTATACCCCAAATGCTAACATTTTAAACCTTATTTTATTTTATATTTATATTTTAAAATTTTATAAATTTTAAGACATATATAAATGTAAATCTATATATACATACACACTTATAATTGAAATTGTGAATTTTTATTACAATATTTTGCGTTTTTCCCTTGTTTTTTTTTGAATTATGGTATTCTTTCAAAAAACACACTATATACACGCCTACAAAAATTTTTTTTTGCAAACAATTACGAAATTTTTATTGAATAAAATTTTTTTTTTTTTATTATATTATTTTATATTTTATTTAAAGAAATAATTCTAATTAAAATTAAAAAAATTGTTTTAAAAAAAAAAATTAATTTTTTACAGAGGATACCGTAACGCAAGACGAATACCATAGGTTTTTTGATAACGCTCTCGAATGTAATTTTCAATTTGATAAAAATTAATTAATTATGAAAAAAAAAATATTTCTATTTTTTTTCTCTGTTTCAAATTATTAAAATTATGTAATTTCTTATGTTTTGTGTTAAAATATTAAATTTTCATTTAAAATAAATTTAATTAGTAATTTTCAATTCATTTTTATTTTTTACACAATTTTTTAATGGAAAACCAAAATTTTTTTATGTTTTGTCACTTAGTTTAGATTTTAAATAATTTGTTACACTTGTAATAATTTTTCTTTTTTAATTTTATTCCGCACAAAATTTGAAACATTTTAAAATTCAAAATTTAATTATAAAATATAAAAATTCTTTCGAAGTTTCCCAAAAAATAATGATATTTTATCTTTCATAATATTTGACAATAAACAACAATTTTGACATAATATGTCAAAACATACACTGAAAAAAAATTTGTTAAGAAAATTGAAATTGAAAATTAAATAGAATTTTACCAAGCAAGGGTTTGTTCGGAATCATTATATAAAAGTTGTACGATTTTGTCAAAATTGTACATTGCATAAACATTGTATTATTTTACTGTAAATGAAAAATCTTGATGCTTTGTATTATTTCATTCCATTGCCTACTTTAATGAGAAAATTGTTTAATGCCAATTTAATTTAAAAATTTCTACTTACAATTGAAATAAATATATAAAAAAATATATGCGTCAAAAAAATTTTGGATACACAATTTGACAAATGTTTCAGTGTTAACAACATTACAGACACAATATCAAATAAATTCTGAACACAACACAATGTCAAATTTTTTTGTTGATGTTTCAGAAAATGATACAATGTGTTTGATGCGTTGTTGATGCAATTGCGAAAATACCCTTATTGTGAATTAAAATTAGAAAAAAATATTTTGAAATTTAAAAACATTCAAATTGGAATAATTACTGATTATTTTTTATTTTTGTAATTAAAAGTTTTATTCTTCACTTTAAAAATTATTTTATTTCAAAAAATTATAAATATTCTAAAACTACATGTAGAAATGTTTAAATTTAATTACAGAAAAAAAAACGCAAATTTAAATTTGAATTTTAAAATTGTACTAAAACTATTATAAATTCTTTTTTTTATTATCCAAAAAATTGTACTAAAATTTAATATAAATTGTAGTTTAAAATTTTGTGTATGTAGTTATAATTCACTTTTTTTTTTCATTGTACTTTGATATCAAAAAATAAATGTAAAAAAATCTATGTTTTTTTTTCTATTTTTTTTTATTTTAATATTTAATTGGAAATATTAACATTGTATATTTATTTAATTATTACAATTAATATTTTTAAATAAGAACTGTATTTATATTAGTGTAAAAATATTACAAAAAACTAACACTTAATTTTTTCACACACATTTTCTATTTTCATTAGTGTATTATTGTAAAAATTGAAAAATGTCATTTTTTTCATAAAATTCTTCTGTCAAATCTTCTGACATTTTGTACATATTATATGGTATACATTTTACATAACATGATATCGTAAATTTGGTTTTTAAAATTTTAAATTTAAAATGTTTGACACAACATTTATTCCAACTTATTTAATAATTCCTAAAAAAATATCAAAAAACAAAATTAAAAAACCAAATTAAATTTAAAACGGAAAGAATATGGAAAGTATATTATACTTTTATTTTACACAAATTTTACGATATTAAAACTTATTGTATGTAATAATAACATATTCCGAAATTCGGGCGAAAAATGATATTATATGTATTTTAAATTAAATTTCTCATTTGGAGATGAAGAAGTGCGGAAACCCTTTTTTTTTTGGTAAACATGTCAAAAATATTTTAATAAAAATCACTTCCAATTTAAAATTTTTTGTAAAATTAAAAAATTAGGCAAATGACGGCCAAAGGAGGAACAAGAAAATTTTTGTTTTTAATTTTCACCAAAAATTATAATTAGCGAAAAATTGAAAAAAAAGAAGAAGTTACTGTTAAAAGCAGTCCAACATTAAATGATTTAGAGTAATTTATCGTAAAAAAATATAAATTAAATATGTAGAACAATTTTGAACACAAACCAAATCAAGAAATTTTCATTTAAAATTTTCTGTGAACAGGCCTAATGAAATCGGAAGGCGCATATGTACAAACATACGCACATATTTAATTATTAACTGCTAACAAGAAAAATATCACTTAATAATAAAATAATTATTATATTGAATAATTTTTGTAAAAACAATGTAGAGAAAAAAATAATTTTATTAAATTACGTGTAACGCTTCATGGAAATTAACATTTTCACTTAAATTACTAACATTGGTAGTTCTGTAGCATTGTAGTTTATGATTTTTAGTAGTCAAAAAAATTCAAACTTTATACATGAAAAAATTAATAAATAAAAAATAAAATTCATTAATTTTTTTTTCTCTTTTCTAACATCATTTACCTTTCTTTTTTTTCCACATTTCTCTTAAATTGCATTTTCATTCGATTATTCATATGTAATTAAAAAAAAAAAAACAAAAACAAAATTTCAAAAATAACACCAAAAATAGCATATGATCTAGCGACACAATGTGAATCTCGGCGAGCTTCAATGCGTCGTCATACAATAGTTGGTTGCCAAAGTGTATGTCATAATGAAACACAATCAGTCCCACCATCACGGCCAGATTCAAGACAATCAAGCTGCCATCAACCAAATAATAAATATCCAAATCATATGTCATCATCAACAATAGGTGTTACTGGTACAAGTGGTACATTTGATCGATCAACCGGTCCATTAAAATATCATACCAAATCAAATCAATCTGGTGAACCAACACCAACAATTAGTACAACAAATCTATCAAATACAGAATCATTTACCAAAAATAATGATCATGATGAAACAAATTCACATTGGATGGATAAAACTACATCAGATCGTTTATCATTAACATTAGAAGAAATAGTACATATAAGATCAGTTATGACAAAGGCTGAATTAGAGGGTCTTCCCGTAGGTGTTAGAGTTAAAGAAGAAGTAGAAAAACGAAAAATATGTTTTCTATGTTTACGAACACGTTTTACAATATTTGTTTGGGGTATACAATGTAAATTGTGTCAAAGAACTGTTTGCTCAAAATGTTCATCAAAAATGCGTATACCAACTGAACATTTTCGTAATGTACCAGTTGTGTTATTATCACCATCATTAATTGGAAGTCCAGCTAGTTCAAGTGCTGCATCACCATGTCATCATAGTTCAATATCACATCCGAATAGTTCAATTGATGAAACATTTCCAAAAACATTAATGGAAAGATTAATGAGATCAGAATCTGATCGTAAAGTATGTATAAAATATAAAAAAAAAAAAATTTCAATATAATTTATAATTTAATTTATTATTGTTTTTTTTTTTTTAGGCACGCAATTCAGTTGGTAGTGCACCATCATCACCTAAAAACCAAAGATCAAATATGAGTACACCAGGTGTTGCTGCTGGTCATCATTCAAATGATTTAATGACCAAATCATCTGATTCTCATACACTTTTAAGTAATGGCTATAATAAAGAAAATAATAGTACAACATTAATAAATGGTGGTATTGCTGCCAATCGTCAAGTAGCTGGTATTATGTCAAGAAGTATGGAAGGTCCTAGAAGTTTACCAATGCAAAGTCCGGGCAGAGCACATTCAAATTGTAGTACCCTTGATAGAAAGTAAGTTAATTATCTATAATATAATTAAATTTCATGACGTGAAAACTACTTTTCTTCAAATTTAAATTGATTTCACATGCTTCGAATGGTTAAATTTTCATAATATTTTTGAATATTACCCATGTAAACTTGTCGGACAGGTTCTAAAATTAAAATTATGCTAATAAAAAAAATATATTCTAATATAATTTATTTTTTTATATATTTTAGGAATCGTTTTGCTCGTGCACTTACATTATCATCATCTGCATCACATGGTGCTGTAGATTTAAAAGAGAATTTACGTGGAGAAATGATGTCTGTTTGTAATGATTGCCGTGACTTAGTATTAGAAATCATAAGATCAACAAGACAAACAAGATCATCAGCACGTAATCAAGCATTAAAAAACCTAACACTTGATATATCACCTGTTTACAAATAAAAAAAAAAAAAAACCAAAATGGTTGCAAGTACAACTATTCCAAAATTAAATATTATTAAGTATATTATAAAAAAAACAAAAACACATTTAAAATAACAAGCGACAAACACTTCAAAAAAAAAAATACTAAATTAAAATTTACTAAAACCATAACAAATTTGAAAAATATTGAAAAAAAAGACAGAATTTTTTAAAAATATTGTATAAAATTTAACAAAAACAAAGAATGTTATCGTTCAATAATAGTAGATATATATATTATAACAAAACATACATATAAATTTAATAAAAATATTTATTATTATAAATTCATTTTTTCTGTAAATTATAAAATAATATTTGACTTCCGATAAAATTAAATAATAAAACAAACAAAAAAATGCATGTGTATATGTAAATTTCCAAAAAAAAAAAAAAAAAAAACAAAAAAAAAGTATTCAAATATAATTCTATAATAAGAAATTAATTATATAAATGTATTGTAATTAATGTATATTATTATAATATTATTATATTTCAAATTAAATAAATTATTAAAATTAATATTTACTATTTGTTTACAAATATTTCTTTTTTAAAATTTTTCTGCTTAACACAATATTGATGATGATTATAAAAGAGATTTATTATAATATTTTTATATTGTAATATTATTGTAATTATTTCTAATTTAATTTAAATTTTTAATTGATTTCATGTAATTATTATTTTAAAAGAATTCAAAAATTATTGGGACAAATTTGCTTATCATCTTTAATTCAATCTTAATTATAAAATTATTAATACCCTTATTATGATCGGCGAAGCGAATGGCTAGGCAAGTCGAATGGACTAGGCGAATCGAATGGAATGTATAAAATTATGATCGGCTTTCATTCGCCAGATCAAAAATGTTACTACCGCAAGACATCAGAAAACCTACCGATAATAATAAGGTTAACATAACATATATGTACATTGTTTTTACTTGTTTGCTAAAATATTTGAATTTTCCTGCCCCTTTAGCAATTAAGTGATTGCTATTTATAAATTTATTTAAATGCTCGAATTGCAATAAACATTTAATATTTTTTACAATACTTTACATTATTCAATATTTACAATATTACTATTACAATATTTTTTACAATATTCAATCACTATAAATGCTATAATATCTAATAAAAAAATACTTATGTATTATTTTGATTTTTGGTTTCATTCGAAAAGCTTGTCACGTATTCGCCAAAAATTTCATTCACTTCGCCAATCATAATAAAGGTCTTAATTTACTTAATTATAAAATGATAAAAAAATATTAATTAATTTTTTTCAAAATTATATTTTTTTTTATTTATTTAGTTATTATGTTTATTAAAAATGAAAATTTTTTGTTTTACTATTAAATAATCAGCCCTACCGTGAATTTGATTCGTAGTTTCGAAATTCGGAAAATTACAAATTTCATATTTTCAATTCCGAATTATTAAAATTCTAATACGAATATTCGAATTACACATTAATCATAAATTACCTTAGTAAGAATTTCTTTACTACGAAAGAAATAATCACACGTAACATGCAATTTAAAGAGTTTGGTTGTTTTAAATTTCAAAGTTTTGAATTCTTTTTTTTTTTTAAATTTGAGGTTTTCCAACACAGCTACCATGAAATAACAGCTACACTTTTCAAAAACACTTCGAAACTAAAATACTGATTTTAATACTCTGAAAAATTTGTTGCCATTCCTGATTCGTAGTTTCTGTGAAAGAAATTTGTGATAATTTTAAAGTTTACGTTGTAGCTAAGTTCGCAATTTGTAGAATTTTACGAGAGTAATTCATGATAGGGCTGGATATCATTTAATTTTTTTAATTTAAATCAGTATTAAATTCTTAAAACGTGAAATATTTTATTTAAAAAATTTAATTACAATACAATATAATCTCTTTTTATGTCCCATCAAAAATGTCTTAATTTAATTATATTATTTTAATTTAATTGTGTGTCAATAATTTAATTTTTTATTTTTATTAAATTGCAATGTTTTTTTTTTAATTTTTATCTTATTTTTCGGGTTGTACTACATTTATATTAAATAATTTTTATTTTAAGAATTTTTTTTTTTTTTTCAAATTTTATATTTTATTATTTTCATGAAAATTCATTTAAAAAAAATTATTCAAATTATATTTGCGCATATTCTCGTTGTGTCACAGTGTCGCAGTGCTCATGTAATTAATTGTAATTTAAAAATAAATAAAATTAAAATAAATAAATTAAAGTTCAGAAATGCTATTTAGATTGGAATAAAATTCTGAATTTCTGAATTTATTTTAAACTATATATTTTTTTTAAGAAATTTAATTTTCGGCTATTTCTTTCAATTATTTTAATTATTTTATTATTAATTCTGAAATTGAATATATATATTTTTATGGAATAAGAGAAACATATTTAAAATAATTTTTAAAATTTTTTATTCAAAATTTATAATATAAATTAATTTAAAAATCCTGTATTTTTATCAATAAAATTTTAATTTTTTTTAAAGATATAATTAGTATATTATATTTTACTATATTCACCAATTTTCTGTTAATTGTATTACTTGACGGTGATTGGTTGTTATTTAAAAAATTATGTAATTTTCTGAATTAAAATTAATTTCAAAATTCGAAATTCTAAATCGAATACTAAAAAATAAAATTCTTTTCAATAATATTCAATCACTTCAAGTAATACAACTAATAGAGGAATATGGGTGATTAATTTCAATTAATTTTATGATTAAATCTAATTAACTCATTGAAATTACGAGACGTATATTTGGCTTAAAATACGAGACGTATATTATTTGGCTACTTAAATGTTATTTTAAATTATTTTTCTACTAACATTTCAATTATTAAAATAATGGCATAAAATTTTGTCAAAATTTATTTTCGTATTAATTAAATAATCGTTTCTCTTATTCTTAACTATATTATTTCAATAATAATTCTAAAATATTATTTAAATTACAATCAAAAGTATAGGCTTTTTCGGTATTATATGACGCACTGCATTATCAGAACTAAAATAGCTTCATTGCAATATTTGAAATTTAACAAAATTTGACGCTATCACTTTTGGTGTAGCTTGTGCAAGTATGTCAGAATTAAAGTCATCTGTTCGTTTAATTAATCAATTTCAAATTACGAATTAAAAAAGAAATGAAATAAAATTTGAATAAAATTCCAAATTAACTTAATAATTTAAAAAAATTTTAATTAGTAAATCTTTAATATCCGACATTTTAATGTTAAAAATCACTTTTGTAATGAAATTTAAATTTTGAACTGCTCATATATGCTAAAGTTTTTTTTTTTTTAAATTTTACTTGCAATATGCAATAAAAATTACTTGCAAATTTTACTTACATGCTGCAAAACAATTACTCCAAAATCGAATACTACAAATTTGTAGTTTTTCAATACAAAAAAAAAAAATACTGCATGTCAAATCTAAATTAAGAACTGAAATACTGAAAAAGCCCTATATTAGACACAATTCTAATAATTTTAATTATAGTAATTAAAATATTTCAAAAATAAAATTTATATTTTTTATATTTTAAAAACTAAATTTTTCTGTCTATATAGAGAATTTAATATTTTATTTTATTTTATTTTATTTTCTTAATATTTCATTTAAATTTTTTTTTTCTTATAATAAATATAAATAATTTATGTGTAGTATGGAAAAATATTATTAAAAATAATTTTATTATTTTGTTCGATACAAAATTTATGCTTTACAAATAAAATTTATTTTTTTTTTTTTGTGAAATATTTGAATTAAAATTAAAAATAATATTATTTTGTTTATTTTTTTTTTAATTAAATAATTTAATATGTAGAATTTAGATTATTTTTTTTCTTTTAATTTTTTATTATTTATTTGTTTTGTTACGTTACACTTGAATTAAACAAAAAAAAGAAATGAAAATTTAAATATTTATATTAATTTTTTTATTATTTTTTTTTTCTTTACTGTAAATTATTATTTAAAATGTATAAAATTTTCAATTAAAAAATTAACAATTATTGCATTTAGATTATAAAATTAAATAACTTTATATACATATATATATATATATAATTAATTGTAATATATTTATAAGTTAAATTTAAGCATATAACAAACAAAATTAATATTGTAAAAACAAAATCAACAAAACATAATTATTATTATTAATGTTATCAGAGAGAATTTTGATTTATTTCCAAAAAACATGAAAAAAAAAATTTAAAAAAAAAACACACGTATACATGTATGTACAAATATAAAACTATATAAAAATATTTTTTAGTTGTTTTAAAATTAACTTAACTATTTTTGTAAAAAAAAAAAACAAAAAAAAAAAAACAAGAAAAAAACAATTTTACAAATAATTTTTTTTTTTTCTTTTTTTCAATTTGATTATTTTGATGTAGAATTATTTTTTATTTAAAACAAAAAAAAAAATATAATTATTTGTATTTAAATAAACTTTTAGGTTATATTAAAAACTAACTATACAAAATATTATATAAAATGTAAAAACAAAAAAAAAAAATGTTAAGAATAAAACAAAATTTAAAAATTCAATTGTAAAAACTTAAAAAAACAAAAAAAAAAACACAAAAAAAAGAAATTCAAATAAAAAACTATTTAAATTTAATAATAAAAAAGAAAAAATCAAAAGTATATTTCAAAATTAAATCGTCGATTTTTAATTTAAAATTTATTTTCAATTACAAAAATTTCAATGATTGTTTCAATTCAAACGTATTAGAATTCCGATGCTATATTTTCGATATAGTTTTCATTCATCAACTTGTGATAATTAACGTCGTTTTCCCGGTTTTATTGAATCGAATTTCTTACAAGGGAGAATCCCAGTATTTTAAGGTCAATCGAGTTTTATCAATTTTCTACGCCATAATAGGGACTATAGGGTGTGGAATGCATAAGCCGATAACGCGTATGTTTTGCAAAATAATCTTGTATTCGTCTGATTTTTATACGAATATAAATAAGAGGGTGCTTAAAGCAAGATTATATGGTAGCAGTTATTATTTTCTATTTGTTATTATTTTTTTTAGTTTGTTTTTAAGTAGCGTTTTGTCTCAAAAAAAAAAAAAATAGTACGAAGAGCTTTAATCGTATTAATTTGGTTTTACCATCAACCCTCAAAAAAAATAAAGATTTTTGTATATTTTTGCTGTAAACAAGAAAATATGAGACAAAAAAATATTGTACGCGCTGAAAATTTTTAATTTTTGAAGAAAATGTACGCATTTTTAACAACTTATTTTTAAAAACGAAAAATGTTTTCATTCAGAATTATAATTAAAATTTTGAATTGATGTTTTTGACATGTGATTTAAAAAAACGCTAAATTTTATTTTTCTATACTTATAAAAAAAAAAATTTAAATAAAAATAGAAAGAATTAAAAATTTCCGAACAAAAAATTCAATCGAAATGTCATTTTGTCAAAAATTCGTTCACACTATCACTACTAGATTTACATACGTAAAAAGCGATATGCAGTGTTCGCATTACTGATACAGTGTGACAACGCGATTCATACGATATTATTCAGAAAACTTATTTAAATCAGTAGGTTGCATAATATTTTGACGTTTCGCACAAATATCGTTGTCGCAGTGTCGCGGTATCGCAGTAATGTGAACTGCCTTTTATTTAAAACGCAACGTGCGAAAGTCGTCCCTCCAGAAATTGTGACATTTTTGAAAATCTGTGATTTATTTAAAATTTATTTCAAATCAAATTTCGTTTTTTAAATTTTAAATAAAAAAAAAACAATATTGGAACAAAATTTTGGAATAAATTAAAAAATAGAATAAATAATAAGAGTACATGTATTGCAAACAGATGGAGCAGAGTAATTGCCAAAAAACTGACGTAGAAGGGAAGCAATACAAAACGTTTAACAAAATAGAAATGTCAGTATAAAAACTTTTCGTCAGAAACTCTAATTTGAAAGTAGTATTTTTACTCCAAAATTGCATTCATTCTCTTTTAAATGGGTAACTAATGTTATTGCTGTAGCTTTTATCGACCGAAAAATTGGAAGTTCTTTTTGAAGCATAAAAAAATTCTTTCATTTAACGGGATAAATATATTTCCTAATCATTATGATTTTAAATTGGTATCCAGCCCTGATTACTTGTTGCTAGCTTAATTTTGTCATCCTGTGTCAAAATTAGAAACAACGTGACAAAAATTGTAGAAATAATTAGTAATTGTAGAAATAATTTTTTAACTTGTCAAATTAAGTACAAAGTTTTGCCGGCTTGTCTTAATTTGAAATTTATTATTTTATCAAGCCTATTTGATTTTTTAAACATATTAAGAAAAAAGTAAGCTATAAAATTTTTAATATATTAAATATGTCTACCTAAGTAAGAAAAAAGTGAAATGTTTTCCTGCACAAAACCGCGTGCTTAATTCCCGAATGTATACACAATTACGTTAGTGAACTTAACCTTGCCAATTTGTTAAATTTTCAGATATAAGGATGAGTGATACTGAATCAAAATCAAATGATGAAGCTCCATTGAACGAAAAATCTGAAAATGGAAATTCAACAGAGAATAATGAAGATAACACAGAGAAAACAAAAGATAATTCTACAGAAGGCAAAGAAAGTATCAATAATGACAAATCTGAAGTTACTTCTAAATTAGAAGCGGACATAATTCGGCAAATAGAGTATTACTTTGGTGATGCTAATTTACAACGTGATAAATTTTTATTGGAACAAATTAGTAAAACTGAAGAAGGATGGGTGCCATTTTCAGTTCTATTAACATTTAAACGATTAGCAAGTTTATCAACGGATGTCGAGGAAATTGTTAATGCTATTATGAAGTCAGATGAAGGTTTATTAGAAGTAAGCGACGACAAAACAAAAGTAAGAAGGCATCCGGAACGACCCATTCCTGAGTATAATGAAGAAAGAAGGAAAGAAATACATTCAAGAACTGCTTATGTTAAAGGATTCCCGTTAGATTCAGAAATGTCGGATTTAATAGATTATTTTAATCCATACGAAAAAGTAGTCAACATTACTATGCGAAAATATTTGGACAAACCAACAAAAAGTTATAAATTTAAAGGAAGTGTTTTTGTTACCTTTGCCAAAAAAGAACAGTGCGAAGAATTTATAAACAAAGAAAAGGTTCTAAAAAATCATTTTTTGGAGAAAAAAGAAATTACCTACTAAAATTTTATTAAATTTCAGGTTCAATTTAATGAACGTGATCTGATCCGTAAATGGCAAGAAAAATATGTGGAAGAGAAACGTGAGGAAATTAAATCGAAAAAGTTGAAAAAAGGAAACAAGAAAGAAGAAGATGAAAATAAAATTCAACTTCCAAAAGGGGCACTTATTCATTTTGATGGTGTAACAGATGAAACATTAAAGCGAGAAAAAATTAAAGAAAATTTAGAGGAACTTGGCGCTCAAATTGCATTTATTGAATACAATAAAGGAGATAAGAGCGGTTATATTCGTTTGGCTGTAGAAGATAGTGCCAAATTAATCCTTGATAAAATTGAAAATAACAAACTTAAACTAAAAGGCACAGAAGTTGAACTAACTTTAAAACTGGTCGAAGGCGATGAAGAAAAAGAAATTTTGAAAAAAGCTGTTGAATCTATGCAAAGTCGAAGAAACAATACCAGACAACATTCAAAAGGTGGTTTTAACAAAGGAGGTGGACATAATCGTAAACGAAAGCAAAATAGACGCGATAATCAAACAGATGACATTGAAGGTGATGATGGTGAACCGCCTGCAAAACAAGAAAAAGAAGTAAACTAAAATATTTTCACACATTACTTCAAATACTTGAACGTATGTACCTATCCAAATTAGGTACAAAATATTTTTAACTTTATAATATTTGAAACTAAATGTTAATTTTAAGTGAATTTTACCTTTAATTTCTCAATCTATTGATTAGAGCAACTTCAATAAAAATTTTTTGAAGAGAATAAATTTGTATATTCATTATTTGACGTCTGACGCCAGTAAAAAGGAGTAGGTGCTCACAATTTATTAAATTTATTCAGGATTTGTTTGTTATAAATAATGACCATATGCTAAAAAGTTTGCGTTGTCTTCATCTGAAAGAAGTAGAAGTTAAATTAAAAAATGCATTTGCATTTTGCGACAAGCATGCCGCAACATATTAAATTAGGCATGAATTTTCAACTTAAGCGTTATTATTAACAATTATTTTTATTTCTTGTGAATTTCAAAAATATACATTGTGAATTTTTCTATACTCACAATTCTGTATACTCACCCCTAATTCGTTGTCAAATTATATGTATGCATTTTTGAAATATTTAATATTGTTATAATACTATCAAACACATTTTATTCTGTCAAACTACATGTGTTGTGTACTGACTACTGATAATGATAAATAAAAACAACACGTTTTTTAGTTCAGGAATAAACAACATGGAAAACTGTATAGAAAGTAAAGCAGGAAAATTATTATTACCGTCTCCGGTATTTTTATCCAAAAAGATACCATCCCCAAATTTTTCAAAATTTGAAAATAATCCCCCGGTAAAGGAAAATAAATTTTCACCGACAATTCCTACTAAATATTTGGAGAAATATAAGTGTCACATCGAGAAATACAATCAAAAATTCAAAGAAAAATACAATGTGAGGACTACAAAATAATTTAGAATCTATTAAAATTTCATTTGGTTTTATTTTTAGAATGGGATCAAGAAGGATTTCAGTAAAAAGAATTTGTGTAAATATTGTGATACGTCATTTTGTAATCTAGAATTATTCAATAAACACAAAAAAGATTATGAAAATTGTTCTGTAAATGGGTGCTGTTTTAAAGGTTGTTCTAATTCAATAGCAAAACATGTTGAAGAGCTGCATACTACTGGTCTATACGACAAAATCAAAAATCTTAACACTCCAGAAGAAATAGCCAAATGGAGAGAAGACAGACGAAAGCGTTACCCAACAATAGCAAATGTTCTGTTAAGACAGAAAGCACAAGAAGAGCGAAGAAAAAGAGGAGAAGTCTTGGAAAATAATAAGTCAAGGTTTGGTTCAAAAAATGATAGGAGAAAGATGAATAGGTTAGTATACACTGGTAGATATGAATTAAAAAACTCGCCAACTTATCCACAAATAATAAAATTAAAAAAAAAATTTTAACAACACTTTTAACTAAATATTACAGTGGGGTGAGAAATAATCTTAAAAGGGAAAACAATTCCGCTGGATTTAATCAACCCAAATTCAAAAGAACAAAAATTACAGAAAAAGAGGAGCCAACGAATCAAAGAGAAAACCATGCCGTTGGTTCTAATCAACAAAAAAGCAAAAAAATAAAAGTTACAGAAAAAGAGGATTCCTCGAAAAATAACGCAAATCACAGGGGTGATAATAAAACATGCAATGAAGCTAATGATGCTCCTGAAATAAGTATTACATCTGATGAAGATGAGCCAGTAATTAGTTCTCTACCACCATTTAAAGGTACATCGAGTATTTCAAATTATAAAAAAGTAGGGACCAGCAAAAAAATTCAAACTAATGCTTTATCCGGATTGTTAGGAATGTATGGTGAATCCTCTGATTCGGAACACATTTCTTCTGAATCCGAATCTGACAATGAAACGAATAAATGTTTGGAAAAAACGTGCACTTATAATACCTTAACGTGCTCCAGTAAAACGGACAATGTCGAAGAAGATGTAAGAGAAAACGTAAAAGAAATATTTCCAATTAACAATTCGATTGTAAAGTCTAAAAACAATTTTTGTAATTTGAATAACAAAATAGAAAAAACTCCTGCTACTGAAATTGAAAAAATTTTAGAGCATAATTCTCATGAACAAATTAGTGAAAATAATATTTTTCCTAACCAATGTTTTTCCGAAAACGGTTCAAACCTTCCAAAAGAGGAGCTACCTGATAGTTCCAAAGTTATGCTCAATCCCGAAGAAGATGATGATGCTCCAGAGGAACAGCCGATATTAAGAACGGAAATTTCAGAGTTAAAAGCATTAGAAATACGTACAAATAAAGTAACGGTTAACAATTTTCAAGATGCTAGTGAAAAGAAACCAAATGAAAATCGATCACAAAAATCAAAACTTCAAAGTAAAGTTCGACAAGTTGGACATTTGTTAGATTATTCTAAATTATATAAAGCTAACCAAAATACATTGTTAGAGAAATTGCTCGAGCCGCACATTAGACATGAAAGAAACGTATTGCTTCAATGTGTTAGATATGTTGTTGAAAATAAGTTCTTTGGGATTGGACAACAGTCTGAAAAATAAAATAATTGTACAAATTAAAATTATTCTTTTTATTTTCACATACATAATATTTAAATAAATCATCCATTAAACTAATTTTTATGTTGTGTATTATTTATTGTTGTTGATTAAAAAATTCACCAGGTCGCTGTTGTTGTCTAGCAGCCGCATGTTGCGTGTATTTTGCTTTACAATCTTCTAATTCACGTACTTTTGATCTTGCATGATGTATCCTATGCCATGCCATTTGTAGAACTTTAGTTGAAGCATAACCAGACCCCTCATGAGGCTGACCAGTTGATACTTGTGTTAAATAATTAATTTGTTCGCTTAGCTTACTTTCCACCGATTGTAATGATTTAATAAACAATTGTGTATGGTTTTCCGCAGCTTTCAAAGATGATTTTTCTTTACCAAGCTCTTGTAAAGCTTGTCCTAAAATATTTTAATTTCATAAAAATGATTTTTTAATAAACATGATGACAAAATGATTTTTTTAATAATTTCATAAAAATGATTTTTATAATTATTTAATAAACAAATACCTGCACTTTGTAAACAAAGAATGATATCCTTTTCAATAGCATCAAGAGCGTTTATTTTATCTAAAGGGTTATGAGTCATATTTCTTTTTTCTAAATATACAAATTTTTGTAATTTAAATTTGTAATTAAAATTTTTGTAATCTTAAAATCACAAAATTATAAACAACAGTACAAATTGCAAGTTTTCCAAACCATCAACATTATGAAATTTTGAAGTAAGAAATTTGACACACTCACAAAAATTTTTGCTTTTCAGCACTTTATAAACATAATGTCAATAAGCTTCTTCTATGTGTCATTATGAATTTGAAAGATATTTGCCTCTTCGAGAAAATTTCGATTCCGAGGTTTATTTTTACTTTTTCTGGAACTAGAAATAGCTAATTTCTAATCAGACTTATTATCAGATTTTTTAAAAGTAAAATGCCGACAATAAAGTTTTTGCGTAAGTTTTGAGCAGCGATCACCCGCTTTTTCTTTTGATTACAATTTTTATATCAAATTCCTAAATTTTGACGTAACATCTGAAATAATTTGAGTTTGGTATGTAAGAGGTACATTTCTTCTACGATTTAGGACGTAATCGTGTCGTTTTTCTAAAATGTAAACAAAATTTATTCACTTTGTTTTTGAAAGTGTTCAGTCGATAATTTGAGAAAAAATGCAAAAATCCAATTAAAAAAATGAGTAATCTTACTGGAACATAAAATATCTATTAGAAAAACGGATAATTCTGAACTGAAAGTGAATAAAAAGTGAGTAAAAAAACGAGATACACGATTAAGAAGTTTATCTCAGATTTTGTCGTATTCACTTTGCAGTCTTAACTCGTTCTGAAAAAACTGGGCGCTAAATAAAATGATGTAAAATGTAAAAAAATTATGGACGTTCGTATAAAATTAAGAAAATAACGTTTAACGCAACGCTTAGAATGAAACGTCGAGTTCGGTGCGGTATAGCGTCGAAAGTTTATATTAATAATTTTTACAAAATAAGAGTTGCTTCTAATAATAAAGAATTTAATGTACATAATATGTTAATATATAACGTAATTAAAATTAAATGACATAAAAAATATCATTTCATTTGGAACACATAAAATCTACTCTCTTGTACTCTAAACAAAAAAATTTTAATTTCGAAAAATATTGACAGCAATCATTTAATATTTAATGTCATTTTTTTTTACCATTATAATTTTATTGTTGTTGTTTTTTTTTTTTTAATATAATGATAAAACGTCAAAAATCTAAAGATAAAACTGGTCTAAAATATTGACCATTAATTTGGTCTTATTGAAAAGTCCTAATTTTTGTTTTTTTAGTGTTTTTGACATTTTTGACATTGAAGCATGTACTTCGGGTGTTAGTAGGAGAGACTGCGTTATATATTAGTATAATATTTTATATGGAGAGTTGAGTATACACTGTTTTTTTTTGTTAAAAATATTTAAAAAAAAAGGAGAAAAATATCAATAGAATAAAAACCAAGTTTTTATATTTAAAAGTTATATTATATTCAAGGAAGCCTATTAAATTGGTAAGTAATTAATTAATAAATCGGAAATATTTTAAAGAATTTTATATTTTCGACTTGACTTTCAAACTGACTTAATGTACCATCCTACCTACCAACAAAATAAGTAATAGAAAATCGAAGTGAATGGTGCTTTTTTTTTATATATACAATATATATTTTGTATATATACACATTATAATTTAACATTAGTTATAAAATAAAGCTATAGAAACTAATATTTCACATTTCGTGCGTTAAAGGACGAATAAATAAGATTTTAATTGGAAAGAGCGGTTTAAAATTTTTTTACGATTATATACATTGTACATACATACATATGTATAACTTAGTGTCATAATGCAACAATAAAAGCTAATATAAATTCTATAATATGTGCGTAACATTAAAATAACACAATGTTTGAATTTAACCGTAAACACTGAAATATACAACAAAAAAAAAAAAAAAAAACGGAATAAATTATTTTATTTAAATGGATGAGAAAAATGATTTTGAGATATTGGAAAATTAAATTTTAAATTGAATGATGAAATTATGCATTCGTATGTACATACATGTGTATACTTTGTATTTTTGTACATATATTTTTGATAAGTATTTTACGGTACCTAATTGGTTAAAATCATAATGTATGTAAGTGTTTCCAAAATAAGTAACTACAATATCGTAAAAGTTTACTGAATCGTAATTTGAAATCTCAATTTTTTTTTTATTTTTTTTTTCATCTCTTATAGGGATGGAAGAGAAATTAGTTGCATTGTTAACAATTGTAAAAAACAAGAAAAGAAAATTTTCAATTAGTTTTTCCAATTAAAAAAAAAAAAAAAATTGAAAATTTCATTTGCAGTTGTGTACGTGCGCTAAGAAACAAGAATTTTTCCTAAATGGTCTTGCCAGCTTCATTCATTAAAATGTGTATATATACATATAATAATATAAGAAAGAAAAAAGTATAAAAAAAATGCAAAATATAATATCCCGTAATAGCTTAATAACAACTACCTATATACCAAAATACTATTATATAAACCGCATGTTACATTTTATAATATATTTAGATAGTACTATGACTGTACACCAGATCAGTATATAACATTTTTAACGCAACATACAAATTTTATACACATAATTGTACTTTCAACTACCTATCCACATTTTTTTTTTTTGTTTTCTGTGATAAATTTTAAACATCACAAAATATTTGAAAGAAAAACGTACAAAAAAAAAAAATAGTAAAACATAACTAAAAAAAAAAAATTTTTTGACGTTTTCTCTACACATACATATGACATTGACATTTTGTTTTCGAAAATTTTCGAGTTGACTGCTTGCTTGCTGTGAAGTATGTATTAAGAAAAATTTCCGAAGTAGAAAATTTTTATGGAAAGAAAAAAAGATATTTTTTTTTGTCGTTTTAATAAAAAAAATGTTTAATCTTTTTTTTTTAGTTTTAAAAAGGATTTCGGCTCGTTTGTTGCTTATATTGTATTAAATTAATTAGGAAATTTTGTTTTTTTTTTTTTCGAAACAAAATGTACTTGTAATTTAAAATATGTATATACATTACATGTATGTATATATATAGTAATTGTGTTTTAGTGTTTAAAATACCAGTGCCTTTAGTATATATGTATGTATAAAAAAAAAAAATAATGAAATTTTCATTTCATCTAAAGTAATTTTTTTGTTTTCTTAAATTTTAATGAAAAAATAATAATTCTATCAAAGAAAGGAATAAACAAAATATCTAAAAATAATTTCCGATGTCGTAAAATAAAAGAAGAAAAAAAAAAGAGCATTTTTTCGATCATTAGTGATTTCACAGGAAAATTATATATATATATATGAATATGTATATAATATATGCACATACCTAGTAAATGAATGTACATATACATATACATACTAGAATTTATAATAAAAGAAAAAAAATTTATTAGTATTTTGTATTCAAAATCAGAAGTTATTATAAATTGTATCGAAGAAAATATTTCATATTTTGCGAAAGAAAAAAAAGAAAAATAAAAAATAAAATAAAAATTTTTACCTTGTAGTGTTTTTAAAAAAAAAAATTTAAAAAAAAATTTTTTTTTTTTGTTCTTTTTCGTATGATGCGTATTTTCCATTAATAACGTAAAAAAAAAAAAATACAAAATAAAAAGCAAGAAAATAAAAAGTGTGATATAACCAAAATATTATACGAAATAGTAAAATGAAAATAATAGAATTTTAGTGAAACACAAGAAAAAAAAAAAAAAAATAAAGCAAAAAAAAAAAAGAAGAGAAAAATAAAATAAAAACAATAAGATTTACTGCTCTTTCTTATAACTCAATCAGTTTTACGAAAAATTCGGGCGGGATAAGGAATCAAATTAATCCCGTGGTCGCATCTCGCATTAAACAATATTAACAAATAAAATAAAAGAAATTTTCATTTTGGATTAATTACCTACTTAATTACTTCTTTTCAAAAGCGCCCTCTATTTACCATCTAATCTAAACGAAAAAATACAAATTTTGTTTTTTTTTTTTTTTAAAATAAAAATATCAAAAATTAAAAGCGCACATCAAATTATACGGTATGTTTAAAAAAAAATAATTTTTTTTTTATCTGTTTTTATATTTATTTTTGTTTTGTAACTTAATTATAAATTTAATTTATATACTTTGTATTTGTACATATAAAAAAAATTTTTTTTTTTTAGATATTTTGTATTTGGCTTTATATATCTACTTACATGCAACATACATACATAACTGAAAATATTTTTAATTAGAATTTTGGTTAAATAATTGCTGATGTAATCAATAATTTCATGATAGAAAAATTAGTTTTTTTTGTTTTTTGTTCATTTCACATATAATAATAATTTTAATAGTGGCTTTAAATATATAAAAAAAATTTTTAATTGCAAAAATAATATAATATTGTAAGTAATATCTAGCAATTCAAATATATATGTACAGGAAAAGCTAAAGTGAATAAGATTTATATAAAATGTACGTATTCCTAGTAGGATATTGAGGGGTACCTATATAAATTATACATATAAATATAACTACCTATATTTTATATACATTCATTAAATATTAGTAATGTATGTAAAGAATATAAATTATAGTAGATCTGTTAATAGTAGGTCGAGAAATACTCTTAATTTTTTTTTTTTTTTTTGGAATAAGGTGTAGGTACCTACTTTATTGTGTTGTATACAAAGAGTATAAAATCAGAGAAATACTATGATGTATAACTTTTTTTTTATTTTATTTCGTGTCTTAATATTCTTCTAGTAGTTAATCATCTACTAAATGAGCAGGCAGATAGATACCTACCTAATTACTCGACAAATTTTGTAAATATCGAAAGTTGTTGATAAAAAGTTGGCAAGACAAGGAAATGAAATTTGTAGCTTATTTGTTAAATCTGTTATATTTACCTGTTATCAGTAATCTGTTATAAGTACCTACCTACTTATTTTTACAAATTATGTAGGTATAAGTAGTACCCTATAAAATATACTTACTCATGCAAATTTTAATTTTTACGAAAATATAAACTAAGGTCTAACAAGAAAAAAGTTTGAATTTAAGTGTCTTGAATTCATTTTCTAAGTCAAACTATAGAATAATATCTTTAATACAATGTAGGTTTTATACTAAATAATATTATTACACAAAAATTTTTTTGCTTTAAAAAATTATGCAAAATCATTGTGTAAATTGTTGTAAAACCTAATTATCTTCTGTTTTACAATTTTGATTTTTTAAACAAAATTTATACATATTCGTGCCTACCATTTACTTACCAAAATTATTTTTATACACATATTTATTTATTTAATATGTAACAAGTTGTATAGAACTTGTTATACTACAAGAATATTTAATACGATATTTGTGAATATTTTGTACATATGCAAATAATTCTTTCATAAAAAGCGATTAACATAATTAAATTAGTTTTGTGAGTTTGAAATTAATTTTTTGTTATTTGTTCTTGTTACAATAATTTATTCAATGGTTATCATTTTCATATATTCAATCGCAATCCGAATGAAATTCCATAATTCAAATTTCCATATCAAAGAAAAAAAGACATTATTAATTTCATAAAAATTAAAAAAAGAAATCCATGCGCTCCTCATTCTTATTTTACTCATTTAATTTTTTTTTTCTTATTTTCAATTAGTAAATAACGTATAATCAAATTCACGTTTTAATTCAAGCCCACCACTCTTTTACTATTTAAAAAAAAAAATAAAGCTAGCCTTGCTATACAAATATTCTCATTTTTCTTTTTCAGTTTTCTTCAACTCACCTGTTTTATTGAAATATTATTAAAGTATTTTTGAGGATAAGAAAAAAAAAAAACGGAAATTCTCCCACCGTACATCTCTAAATTTTATTAAAAAGTACCAAAAGTATTAAAGTAACAAGAAGAAGAGGAAAAAGGAAGAAGAAGGAAAAAACGATATTTACTTTTTTTTTTTTTTAAATCATATAACCGGACTTATTTACTTTGTTATTGTTTTAAAGAACATTTGTCCCGGTGAGTTGTGTTCTAAAGTGGTATTCACTTACATTACAAAACAATTAAAGAAATTAAACCCGAAATCAGTCAAACACTTGATTACAAAACTGTTATAATCTTATAATTTAAATTATTTCATTAAAATTTAAATGCATTTTAATTTTAATGAATTTTTGCCCAAAAATATTTTTCAATTTTAATTAATTTTCAAATGCAAGGCAGCTTTTAATATCAAATTTTTCGGAAGAAAATTTTGAACAGATTTAGCTCTTTTTATTTTTCCAATTTAAAATTTTATTAAATAAGCGATTAATTTAATTAAGTTAAGGGAAAATGATATGGTAATAATTGAAGAATTAGTAAGTAGATCTATAAATTTGAATTAAAAATGCTTAAAAAAATATAAGCTAAAATCATATTTTGAAATTTTAATATAGAAATTTCGAACACTTTCAAATTTGTAATTGACTTAATGCCATAGAAAAAACTAGATTTACTTACATGAAACAAATGAAAAATTTGAAAATTTTTATTAAAAAAATTTATATTATAATTTCATGTGTTCCTTAATTTTGGCCTTAGGATGAAACTTTGTTATTTTCTTATGTATCACTTGTTTTTGAAATCAGTTCTCTCTCTATTGTGCCACACTTTCTGCCCTTAATAAAAATAATATTTTTATCATTTGGAAAGAAACTGGTTTATGAATATTTTAATGACAACAACCATATACTAAACATTTTTCTAATATTTTTCTATTAAGTAAAATACCAACATTGTTATTTATAAAGTGAGAAAGAAAAAATTACAAAAAGATGATAAAAATTGAGGTGATTTCAAAGTTAAAATGAATTTTTTTTAACTAACATAAAATAATTTTAAAGTACAATCTTAGCTAACGTTATTTATTACATATATATATATATTAAGTATGTATGTAATTCTATAAATATTCTTAGAAGTATATAAATAACTCAAATATTTATTTTGTATTATAATGATTTAAGAAAGTTTACGTATTAAGTTTATTATTGTTTTTATTTTATGTTCAGCTATCTCAAAATATATTTCTCAAATTCAATATTTAACATCTGTAATAAAATAATTATAGTGGCTTGTTAGGGAATTTTTTTTTGTTTCTTGCTAATATAAAACAGGGGTTTAATTCTAAGTTATATATATGTATAACAATATTTACATTCAATTATATAAAATATAAAAAATTATACATATATACATACTAAAATATATTTTCTGTGTTATCACAATAATAAAGAATAATAAAAAAAATAAAATAAAAATACAATATAAGCATATAAAATATTAGCGCTTATAAATTTATATTGTGGGTTTAATAACTGTAATAAAAGCTTAAAACCGTTCATTCAATTCAGTTTTTCGCGAGACGTGTTGCAAAAACTACACGGAAATTCTATAGTTATATATATTTTTTTTTAAATTTTTGTTTTTTTTTTTTGGATTTCTCACACTGTTCATTTGAATTTTAAAACTTACTAAAATTGAGTACAATTTTTGACTGACATTTCGGGAATAATTTGTTTTTTTTTTTTTAATGTTTCTTAAAAATAATTGAAACAATTTACTAAAAAAAAAAAACATAAAACAAACAAACAACATAAACAAACATAAAAAAAAAAATTAATATAAAAATAAAATAAAATTTCTTTTGTTTTAAGCGCCTTTTTACTCAATTAGCACACAATAACAAGATTGCCAAGTTAAATTTCAAATATCACTAAAAATTAAACTTGATTGTGTAAAAAAAAAAAAACATAGCCAAGCCAAACTCGCTTAATCAAAAACAACATAAAAATTGAAAACACAAAAATTAAAAATTGTTGCAAAAGAAGAAATTAATATAAAACAAAAAAAAATAAAATGGCTAAAAATCAAGATGGTATTAAAAGTACTGATAGTACAAAAAAATCTGTAACTGATGTAGCAAATATTTCACCAAAAGTACTTGAAAATTGTAAAGAATTAAGATATACCGAAGATCAAATTAAAAAATTGGGTATTAGTATTCTTAATGAAATAAATCGTGGTCTATCAAAGAAAACGAATCCAAGTGCTGATATTAAATGTTATGTAACATATGTACAAGATCTACCAAATGGTACTGAACGTGGTAAATTTTTAGCATTGGATTTGGGTGGTACAAATTTCCGTGTACTTTTAATTCATTTAAAAGGTGAAAATGAATTTGAAATGCAATCAAGAATTTATGCGATACCACAGGATATTATGTTGGGTTCTGGTACACAATTATTTGATCATATCGCTGAATGCTTGGCTAATTTTATTAAAGAACAAGGATTACAAAAAGAACGTTTACCATTGGGTTTTACATTTTCATTTCCATTGATACAATTAGGTCTAACAAAAGGTTTATTGGTTAGATGGACAAAAGGTTTTAATTGTGAAGGTGTTGTTGGTGAAGATGTTGTTCAATTATTAAAAGATGCTATTGCAAGACGTGGTGACGTTGAAATTACAGTATGTGCAATATTAAATGATACAACTGGTACATTAATGTCATGTGCATGGAAAAATCATAATTGTAAAGTTGGCCTAATTGTTGGAACCGGTAGTAATGCATGCTATGTTGAACGTGTTGAAAATGCTGAATTATTTGATGTCCCAGATAATAAGAAACCGCATGTATTAATAAATACTGAATGGGGAGCATTCGGTGATAATGGTGCATTAGATTTTGCACGTACAGAATATGATCGTTTAGTTGATATTCATAGTATAAATCCTGGTAAACAATTACATGAAAAAATGATATCTGGAATGTATATGGGTGAATTGGTACGTTTAGTTATTGAAAAATGTGTTAACGATGGTTGTTTATTTAATGGTGAAGGATCAGATTCATTATTTACACGTGGACAATTCTTTACAAAATATGTATCTGAAATTGAATCAGATGAAATTGGTTCATATACAAACTGCCGTATGGTACTAGAAGAATTAGGTATAATTGATGTTTCTGATGATGATTGTGCTGCTGTAAGATATATATGTGAATGTGTTTCAAGTCGTGCTGCTCATTTAACATCATGCGGTATTGCAGCATTATTAAATAAAATGGATGATCCAAGTGTTACTGTTGGTGTTGATGGATCAGTATATCGTTTCCATCCAAAATTCCATGATTTAATGGTATCAAAGATGCGTGAATTAGTAAAACCACATATCAAATTTGATTTAATGTTATCTGAGGATGGTTCCGGTAGAGGAGCTGCATTAGTTGCTGCCGTTGCATCACGACAAAATTAAGAAAAAAAAAAACCTATTTTTATTTTTTAATTATTTTTATTTTTTATAGTACTAGAAATTTATTAAAAATACATATATATAAATATATACATACAATAAGTATAATAAAAAAAATATTTTTAGAAAATAAAGTTTTAAAATAAATGAATAATTACATAACATCAAATAATATTTATATAAACAAAAAAACCAATTCTATATGAATTAAAAATAAAAAAAAAAAAAAATAGTTACATAAAAGAAACAAATTATACATATAATCTAAAGTAAATAATCAAAAATAATAATAATAAATTATAAAAATGTTAAAAATAAGGTATAAACCAATTATAAAATAATTATATAGAATTGAAAATATTGCATAGCATTAAATGTAAAAACCAAAATTTTCTGTTTAATCACCGCAAAACAATATTTTTTTATTACAAATTACATTTAGTATACAGTCATAATATTATTACTTATGCAGGAATTGGCTTTAATAAAAATAAATAATATTTGGATCTGTAATATGGTTTCATAATTAAAGTTATAAAATTTTAAGTTTAACAACTTAAGTACCCTCAATCTAAGTAGATTCTATCTTAGATCGATTTTAGTTTATTTTATTTTGTTATTTTTTAATTTGTTATAAATCAGTCTCATTAAAAAATAATTAATATTATTTGTACAATGCAATAATTAAAATAAAAATGTTAATATTATTATCAGATACCTAAAAAATCTATAATATGGTTTTGAAACAAATGAACAATAAAGAATAAAAATAAGCAAAATAAAACCAGAGAAAAAAAAATTTTGTATATAAAAAAGAAAAATACATAAGTAATTTAAATATTGTAATTAAATAATTTAAATTTTAGAAAGAAAAATATTTGCATTATCTAAAATGAGAAAAAAAAAAATACAAATGATTTAAAATTCTGTAAAATAAAATTAAATTTGTAATTGTCATGCGAAAAATAGAAATGTTTGCAAAATGCATAAAAACATTACAGAACATAACGGTATGTTATTGTATTTTTTTTTTTATAAATACAAGATTATTAGGCATAAAAAAAAACACAAGAAACAATTAAAGAAAATTTAAATATAGATATTTCATTGAATTATGTATAAATATATAAAAAGAAAATTAATTATATATATTTATATCACTACAGATTTAAGTTTAATTAAAAAAAATTATACAAACATACATACATAAATATATATTTAAAATAATAAATTATTGTAAGAATAAAGAAAAAAAAAACGCTAAAATAAAATAAAAATATAAAAAAAAACAAATTAAGGTTTTCAGTTTTTAATTTTTTTTCCAAAAAAATATTTTTTTTTTTTAATTTTAGTTGAAACAGTAATAAAATTTTTAAGTAGCGATAAAATAATGAAATTTAGATTAGAAATTTATAATTTGTAAAAAAAAAACAATGATTATACTTAAAAGGTAATTCAATTAATTAATTATAATTAATGGTATTTAATTAGTATATCAAAAATTATATTTTTCATTATTTAATTAATGTATTAATGAAAAAAAAATAAAAAAAAAACAAAATATTGACATTGTGTATGCATTAAGGACCTGTTTGTGTATCACTAGGTTTCTACTCACTAGATGACAGTAAAATAAGTGAGTATCATATTGGACTTATTTGCCGTAACAGTGACCTAACTCTAAAACAAAAAATAAACACTTAAAACATTTTTCTACTATGTACAAAAACATCAAATTTCTAACTTGAAAATTATTCCTTATATAATAAAACTATAAAATAATTAGATTTTTAACTAATTCAGTAAATATTTAAGATATTTACTGAAATTTTCTGAAAATCTAAAGTAATTTAAATGAAAAAATGAAAATTCTGATTTGAAAAAGTGTTTAAAAAAGAGTGGGGAGGGAACACAAACAGTAAAATTTCTCTTTTTACACAAAGTATAACAAAAATAATTTAAAAATGAATGTGATTACACAAATCTTTTAGAAAAAAATTATCTAAAAAATTTTAATTTTCAAATAGAAATAAAAAACAAAATATGAAAGAGAGAAAACATACATATTTAACAGGTCTAAATTTAAAAAACAAAAAAAAAATTTTTTTTTTTTTCTAAAATTTTACTAAATCATCAGCCAAACAACAAAAATTTTTGTTCATCAATCAAATTGTATAAGAAAACAATATTTATATTTAAGTTAATTATATTATATTATTATTATTTATATTGAGTAGGTGATGTTCTATAAAAATTTTGTTGTTTCGGTATATATATATAGCTTATATAAATAATATAATATATAAGTACTCGTATATATAAATGTTGTGTATCTAGCTGTTTTAAAATTAAACTCTTTTGGTATAAAAAAATTAAAGTTAGAGAAAAAATGAAAAGAAATAAATAATTTTATTAAAAGTATTGACAATTTTTTTTTTTTTTTTTTATTAGAAAATTGTTTGCACATAATTAATGAATTTAATGATTATTCAATTTTTTGTATTAATTCAAAATAAATTTTTTTTTATGAAATAAAAACAAAATTTATTTGGATGCAATTGAAAATTCGAGGAATATCCTTGAAAAAATTTTTAAATTCTGGAACTTGTTGCACCAGCCACATTGTTTTAATTAAGTAATCTAAAAATTTGTAGAGTTTCTATATTGGACGAACAGTCAAAACAGTAATGAACCATATTATTAAAAAAAAAATTTGAAAATAAAATGTGGTTCGTGCAATAGGACCCTGACTGTTTTTTGATTAAATAATGAAAGTCTTTTCTACTTTTTTAAAAAGTCTTTTTTGAAAATATTCGGAAAATTATAAATTGATTTAAATCAGAAATGTAAAGAAATAATATTGAATCAAATATTTATTAATTTCAGAGCTTTGCATAAATTGAGTGTAATCCTTTTTTGAAATATATTTTATGCGCTCTACTTAAGGAGAAATTTTTTTTTTTGCATTCATAAATATTTAGTATGTATATTTCTTTGCTATAATATATTTATTTATGTTTTATACTTAAATATCAAAATTAATGAATACCTATTATGTATATGTATAAAAAAAAATTACTTATGTATAAAAAAGAGAGTTCTAATTAAGTATAATTTCTATTCTATATTTATAAATATTTTATAAAAGTAGTATGTATTTTGTTTTCAGTAAAAAAAAAATGAAAATAATTTATATAAGTTTTTTCTATTTTTACTTTATTGAAAATTATTAATAATTCATTGTACATTTTTGTATAATTATTTTGGCAAATTAATTTTTTTTTTTAAGAATATCCGAATATAAAATGAAATTATGAAAATGTTATTTACATATTGTTTTTATTTTAATAGAGATTTCAAAATACAAAAAAAAAAAAATAATTCATAATTTTTATATTAATAAAGCAAATCTAAATGTTGATTGACTATCATTAACATTTTAATTAGAACATCATAGATTTTATTGGCATGCACTTAATTAAAACAAATGCTAAGTATTCTTAAAAAAAAAAAAAAATTAATTTGTCTTAAGAATTGTCTGCTAGTTCCTTCTACATCACAATTTTATTATTTTCGTTTTGAATTTAGAAGAATAGTGATCTTTTTTGTTCAATGTTTTTGGAGTTCTTTATTTTAATTGAATACGCCAGTTCTAATTTATTATTTTTTGTTTTTAATTTGGGTGATAGTTCTAATATGTATTTCGAATGCGGTAAAAGTAAATCTGTTTCGATATCGAAATTTTTCGGGTGACTGATTGCACTCACAAAATAAAATAAAAACTTAACAGCTACGAAATTAAAATGAGTGCTTTTTTAAAATTTAACATAAATATAAAAAATCTCAACAAAAAAAAAAAAAATGTTAAAATTACTATTTTTTGTTAAATAATTAAGTATGTGATTATTTTCAGTATAATTATTGTAAAAAAAAAAACAAAAAATCGAAAAAAAAATTGTTATTTTTATTTTTCTAAAAATAAACTAAATATATATTTATATATATATATGTATGTATGTATATAAATTAATACATTTTTAAGAAAACTATTGGTTCCCTCAAAGTTATACGATTTTATTTTTTGATATTTTAAAATTTTATATATTTTAAGTAAACAAAATTATTAAATATTTAGTATTTTTTTTTTTTCTAAATTAAATATTAATATGCAAAATTTTTAACTATTATATTATATAATTATATGTAAATTTAAATTAAAAATGAATAAATAAATTTGGCAAGTATAGGTGTAAACCCGTAACTTTTAATATATAATTAAAGTACTAAAATTTATACATATATATATATAATTTTATTTATACTCTAAATTTTTGTAAAAAAATTAATTAACAAATAAATATTTATTGATGCAAATATTATATATTCGGCAGCTTCACTCATTTATTTTTATAACATCATACTTATAAAATTAAAAATTTATAATTATATACAAAATAAATAAATAAATAAAATTTATAATTTATAAATATATGAAAACATTTTTGCGAATATATTTTGATAATAAAAATTTTTTTGTAAAAAATTTCCAATATTCCAGTTTTCTCTAACATATATAATAGTTAGTATAATTATAATTATTACAACCATTAAAATCGATCTAAAAATTTTGTAAAAAAAAAATAAAGTGTTATAAAATTTTGGTATTGAGTACATTTAAATCTAGACGAAATTACTTGTAAATCTTATTACCCATCACATACAGTTTTCTTAGCTCCATACACAAAACATTTTTAGATTAAACTTGTAACTAGTTGAAAATATTAGCATTTACAAGAGTTAATAATCAATATAACATCACAGAAAAGTATTAATTTTTTAAAAGTTATATAAAGGCAATCATTTTAGTCTTTTCATTTAAGTTTTATTGAACATACTAGATTTAAAGATTTTGTGGTTTTGATTTATCGAACACCACTTTGTATTAAAATCTATAAGTTAGAACTGAATTTTCAAAAGTTTTCTGACTTTAATCAGAAAATTTTTAAATTCAAAACAATTTTCAAAATTTATTGCAAAAATTTAATATTCTTAATATTTAATTTTTTTTTTATAAAGAATTTGAATTTTTTAATTGAGTGAAGATGCGCGCAGCTACAAGAAAATAACGTACAAATTGCAAAAAAAAAAATATATATACAAAAATATATGTATATATATCAAAAACGAAAAATACAAAACAAAATTTATATATATGTAAACGTATACAAGTTATTGTTAAACAATAAAAAAAAAAAAAACACTTTTCTTGTAAAAAGTATTTTTAATTTTGAAAAAAAAAAAGTAGTAAAGCTTTATTTTTGCTTAAATAATCACCGATATTCTTTAAAGCCGTATCACTTAAAGTGATGAGGGTATGTCATCGAAAGATTTTTGTATTTTTTTAAAATAAAATCAATTTTTGAGAGATTCTATTGTTGACAAACTCAATATTTTTGAATAGTATTCCATCATCTCAAGTGAGATGCGTATATGAAAAGAATATAGAGGGGGTGACTTTATTAAAGGCTTATTTTATGTGTATATGTATAAAAGTAACTATATGATTCGGGCAAATGTAACATATTAAATTAGATAAATTCGTTAATGCACAATTTCATAATTAATATATATATACAACGAAAACTTTTGTTAGCCAATTTTTTTTTTTATTTTAAATAAAGGCCTTTGAAAGGCTAGTAATGTTGTTAATAACTTGCTATTTGCCGAATCCGTAACACATATGTATAATAAGCCACCTATGAGTAGCAAAAATATTAATTTTAATATTTTGTTTTTTTCTTTAATCGTGCATATTTGATTTTTATTATTAGAATTTAGCATTTTCTTTTTTAAAATGCTTCCTTATTAACATTTATTTTATTTTAAATATAAATATATTTATATATATTATGTAATATGTAGAATTTTATTTTAAGGAAAATTTGGTTATTAAAATTAAAATTTGTTTTATTATTTCTTTTTTTTTTAATTTGTTTATTTTGTTTTTTTATAAAAATAAATAATTGATGAAACATAAGAAATATCATAAAAACAATATAATCATAATGTGTACAATAAATATATATATAAAGAAAAGTAAGAAAAAATCATAAAAAATTAAAAATAAATGTTATTTAAATTAAAAATATTGTATTAATTTTAGTTCAAACAGTAAATAGTTGAATTAGAAAAATTAAAAAATAAATAATTTTATATATGTACTAATTATAAACAATTTACAAAAGTACA